TAGATGAAAATCAATGATGATCGGGGAACTAAGTCGTAGTAAAATTTAGTTTTATGTGATTGATTCACTATATATGTTATGAAATAGCAAGAGATTCTAATATAGCGTTTAACTGAATAAACAACTTTTTTCTCACCATTATGTTTATTATCACACACCTATATACTGTACAGTGTATGTCTATGTCAATACCTATAGTGTGAAATGCATTTTATTTACTCTAACCGTTTTTAGATAAAACTTAACAAAAGAATTTTTTCTATTGTTGCTGATATACGAATAGATATGGAATATCTTGAGTAAAAGACATTGTAAAATGTAGTACATACTATACCTACCTATTAATTGTTGAAGGAAAAAAAATGGGATCCATCAATTTTACCGATACGATTTTTTATGTATACCGTAACGGCATACTATATACGCGTATAGTATTGTCTATTATAGATTTATAGGCATTAGCTGTGTTGTTTAATATGTCCTCTATTTGACACGAAACTATTCATATAATATTATTATTATAACATATAGCCACAAAGGTATATCGATATGCATATTTATACACCTACAACCTATACTCTATATGTATATATAAAATAATCATATAATAATGTGACTCGTAATAAATATTTTTAATTGTGCCTATTAATTCGTGTTGATGATTTGATGAGTGCTGTATTTAAGTATGTTTATGTAAAAATCTATGATGGATAAGTATACCGTTAATGATAATAGAGCTGCAGTAGATTGAAAAAATATAATATACGACTCTGGTGAGCAAAGGGTGGCGGCGATGGCGTKTTTGATCTTTTGTCATTTTCAAATTGTATACAACCATTCGTATTTTTAAACGTATATGTACTGTTATTCAAAAGGGATTACCTAAATACCGGGAAAAAAATTGAATCGAGTCGCGCCATACGCTATTATGGTGCTATTATACGCAAGTGTTTTCGCATTTGAATGCCGCATATTATATTATTGTTCAATTGAATACAATTTTTATTATTGTGCCAGTACTATAGGTTATGGCAGTACGTTTATGCTGCGTTATACTGCAGCCATACATTGGTATACATATTTTTTATTTTTTTCGGGGCGCTCGGTTATTATATAATAATAATAAACATCTATGTGTTTCCATATGTTCGCGAGTATACCTACCTAAATTTTGGACGTTACGTAAGCATTGTCGATGCGTTCTGCACCTGAGATCACCTATAGGTGTAATGTGTAAATGACATATATTACATAGGTACGTTACATCACATTAAAAACAACAGGTCCGATTGCAGTGGTATAGCCAATGGGACCGAATCGGGTTTGCGGCAACTACCGCAGTCAACAGACTATACATATAGGTAGGTATTATTATTATTGAAAATCTCGATATATACGAACTATAACTCCGAGTATTGCGGTACATGGGCCAGTGTGAACATTTTAGTGTGCACACATAATATAATAATAATAATAATAGTAGACGTATAGATAGATGACGTACCTACTGCACGACCGCTGCTTGGTAGTGCGGAAATCAAAATCTTGGAGAACCGCCAAATTCTCTTGCAGCAATCCGTCCGACCCTAATTCTCGGTTGACGATTTAAGAAATTGAAAAAAAAAATCTATACAACCACGCCGAGCGGGTGTAGTGATATTGTTTTGCAGGTCCTCTTCGCACCGCTTCCCGCAGATCTCCATAATATCTAACGCCAAACACGGTCGACGAATTAAATATTATATAATATTATATCCTTCCCCC